GCTAATCAAATAAATAACAAATCTAAAGGGTGACTCAAAGAGGAGTACACAACTCGTTTCTACTATGTACAGTATTAATATTTAGTCAACTTTAGATCCTCGTGAGTTTAATTCTTGGGAGGAGCGGCCATGATGGGGATGGTTCGCTTGTTCTCATGACCCTCGGCTTTCTTCGGCGCCTCCACAGACAAATGGCCCTTGTCGTTCAGCTGGGTACGAACCGCCTCCAGATCGACGTTTTCGGGCAGCAGCCATTTGCGGGTGAATGATCTGAAACATCCCAAGCGATCAGTAAACATTTAGTACGCATAGGACCTGTAGGAAGTTGCCAGAACTTACCTCTGAATGGCGCCCTTCTCAGTTTTGTGCTCCTGCTTTCCTTCGATGGTCAGCTCACGCCCTTCCAAATGGAACGTTCAACTCTTCTGGGCGGAACTGCGACACATCCAAAGAGACGGCGAATTTTTTGTCGTCATCAACAATCTGCAATTTCAAATGAATCTCGAAACAGCTTACGGCTAACAAAAGGCCTGTCAGGGCAAAACCGTCCATACCTGCTGAGTTTCATTGGCCACGTGAAGCACCGAATGGTCAGCCTCTCGCCAATACGGGAAAATGCTTCTTTCTAAACGATCGAAATCCCTCATGGCGTCGTACATCACACGATTCATCAGACGGGGCATCACACACAAATCCATACTGATCGATTGGAAATAAGCTGAAATATCGCTTTGATAGTGGATTTGTCATGCAAGAGCAGTACAGGGGAAAAGGTTGTAGAAATGAACAATACCTTGAAAAGTCACCAGCAACGCTCACTGCTCGAGAAAGAACACAAATAAGTTGATTAGTAGCAGCTCGGTGAGCTCTTTATATACCCTCACGGTGATCTTCGAGAACCTTCTGGAGCGCATTTGTTTGTTGTTTGGTCGGCGCCCCGCTGTCTCGCGAGGCCCCGCCCACTCGCGTGACTCACCGCCGGCGCGGTTACGAGAAGAGGCGGGGCGGGCGAGAAAGGTTCTCGAAAGTTCCCGAAGAATCCCTCCGAATGGTATATAAGCAGGTCCGAGAACAAGACAACTCCAGCGTTCTGAGGCTAATCTTCGAAGCAATCTACAATGGCGATCTGCATTCACCCGTGGGCTGGCGAGACGGCGATCCTCCCTCGTCTCCTCGACGACGTCTTCAGCGAGATCGACGACGTTTTCAACGAGCTCGCCCAGATTGAGCCACCAATCCACTCTGTTGCGCGAAGGAAGGGAAGGAAAGCTCTTGCAGGATCTTTAGGAAAGGTATGTCAAAGGTTTGATAGCCTTCCCGTTTGTGCTCTGTACCATACATTGCAAGTGAAACCCCCATTTTAGGTTACCGACGACGGTTCAAAGCTGGCGATTTCACTGGACGTGTCGAAATTCAAGCCAGATGAACTGAAGGTGAACATCGATGGCCGAACTCTAACGATTGAAGGCAAGCAAGAAATCACTGAAGGTTCAAATTAATACCAGCAGGTAAGTCTACAGTTTCGAACTACAGAGGCTTAGCCCTCTCTCCATGAAATCGCTGAATTCTCTCTTTTGCAGGTCATTCCTTCGCCGATGGACTCTTCCAGAAGATGTTGACGTCGAGCAGATCCGATCCACCCTATCTGAGAACGGTCAGCTGGCCATCGAGGTGCCCAAGCCGGAACCAACCGTCACCGCCAGAACCATCCCAATCCAAAAGGCTGTCGATCAGCAGTAAACAGGGGCTAATTATTGGGTCGTCGATACTGTTCGAGTTGTTTGCTGTTGTTTTTCGCACGACACATGTACATTACGATCTCGCTGGTACCGTAATTCTGTGTATTTGCATGTATAATTATCTATCTAAATTAATAAACATTAATAAATAAATATGAAAATATTTATTGTGTTGTGATACGGCATGGAAATGGGATGTGTGTTAATGATCTATCTTACGAGTAGTATCCTGCGCGGGGACACCCTTGCGATGCATCATCATATAAATAAATATACACAAATATATAAATATAAATATACATAAATGAACAAATATTAGGTGAGAAAATAGGAAGCCTATCTCATCTGTGCAAGCCTAACACAGGCGCGGGGCTCCGAAAACTCGCCAAAAAACTCTATGAGGTTCTGAAAAAAATTTACAACATTTTGGCAGTTCTTTTGTGTCTTAAGCAATAAGCGTAATAATTAGAGTCTCACATTGTTTGTTACCCAATTATGTCAGCGCGAGACTTGGAGACACAAAAATTTTAAAGACAGTTTGCGATTTATCGACATACACAGGCATATTTACCATATACACACCATATTTGGTTACATTTGGTTAAGGTGCAAATTTGATGAAATAATACAAAGAATAACAAACAATAAATAGCAGCTCCCCGACAATGATTGCTCATAGTTACGACAACAAGGCAGCAATTGGCTTCACTTTACGGCCGATGGGCAGCCTTACGGATCGGGATGGTTCTGGCAGTGACAGATGATTTCCCGCCTGCACCTCGTGGGCTTGCTGCCTTGTTTTTTTTTTTTTTTTTTTTTTTTTTTTTTTTTTTTTTTTTTTTTTTTTTTTTTTTTTTTTTTTTTTTTTTTTTTTTTTTTTTTTTTTTTTTTTTTTTTTTTTTTTTTTTTTTTTTTTTTTTTTTTTTTTTTTTTTTTTTTTTTTTTTTTTTTTTTTTTTTTTTTTTTTTTTTTTTTTTTTTTTCTTTTTTTTTTTTTTTTTTTTTTTTTTTTTTTTTTTTTTTTTTTTTTTTTTTTTTTTCTTTTTTTTTTTTTTTTTTTTTTTTTTTTTTTTT